ACTGAGATCAACATCTCCAATACCCGTGATCTCCAGGGATTTGTCATCCGCCAAACGAACTCTTCCGCTGTAGGGCCTGAAATTTTTCATCAAATCCCTGCAATGACAAGCATGAAACGACGCACCTGAATCCATGATCCAGGACTCAACTGAATTCTCAACACTGCAAATTAGAGCATCTTCATAATCCTCTGCCACGTTCACCTCCTTCTTGCCTTTGTCTGCAGGGGGTTTTGGGCACTGATTTCTGAAGTGTCCATTCTCTTTGCAATTCCAACAATTGATGTCCTTCCGGTTCTTGGATTGCCCCCTCTTTCTTGACTTCGATCTTCCCTTCTTGTTACCTCCTCTAGTGGATTTTCTGCCCCTATCTTCAGTACTCAACAAACTGTTGGAGCTATCCCCCGAACTCCTCCTCCGGATATCCTCACCAAGGATTAAGTCACGAATACCTTCAAAGGTAAGCTTAGTGGTTCCAGATGAACTACTAACCGCTGTGACTGTACCGGACCAACTATCGGGCAAAGATGATAACAAAAGTAATGCTTGGACTTCATCATCGAATTTAATCTCAACTGAGCCTAACCTGGATATGATTGAATTAAACTCGTTGATGTGATCTGCCACGGATGCACCTTCCTTCATTCTTGTATTCACCAACTGTCTAATCAAGAAAACCTTGTTTGCTGCTGAGGGTTTCTCATACATGTTGGATAACGCCTTGAGCAGTCCAAACGTTGTCTTCTCGTTGACGATGTTGTAGGCAACGTTCTTCGCCAACGACAACCTCACCACACCAAGAGCCTGTCGATCCAACAAATTCCATTCCGCCTCCGTCATCGTTTCTGGTTTGTTCTCAGACAACGGTTGATGAAGCTTCTTCTGGTAGAGATAATCCTCGATCTGCATCTTCCAGAAAGCGAAATCTTGACCATCAAATTTATCGATCTTAACCTTCCCTTCGTCAGCCATAGCTCTGATACCAATTGTTACGATTAGGCAAAGATAAACGATAAATTAAGAGCAAGAACACAAGAATTAACGTGGTTCACACAATCGGGTTGATTGTGCTAGTCCACGGCGAACGAGAGAGAGGATGTATTATTATTAGCGTCCCAAGAGGTTTACAAGTACATAAGAGTTGTTTAAATAGGTTTAAGAAAACCTAAACTGAGATTAGAGCCGCAGGCCCAAAATTAAGCCTGTAATTAAAAAACCCGTCGACTGACCCGGTCGGGTCTCTTATTTGACCCGGTCGGGTCTCCTTCACAGAATACAAACCCGGGTAGAAACCAGGTCGGGTTTCCAAAACAGAGGCTCATCGAACATCTGACCCGGTTGGGTCCTTCACCTGACCCGGTCGGGTCTCACATTCCAGAGAGTCCCCAGGTCTCTGCTTCAACATACCTGGTCGGGTCCTTCATCTGACCCGGTCGGGTATCAGTTCTGAAGCTCTGAACAAGACTCCATCTTCAACATGAGGTTACGAAGTTTCCTTCGTTAATACTCCGTACAGATTATTATTATAGTATATCAATTCTTCTTCACTTTTTAGTAGTCAACTTATGCCAATTTTTGTGCAATTCTTCATTTTCAGCTTCTTGATCATGTGATCTTTTTGGCTGTTTGTGTAAGGGCATCCTCATCCATAGATTATTTTTAGGATCATTTTGATGATATGGATGATTTTTTTGGGATCATAGATGAGGAGTTGAGATTATTTTATGAGATTATTTGATAAAATAATATGGTATCAAATTCTAAAGTTGGATTATTTTGTGATTATTTCCAACTTTTAGACTCCTCTCTCCATTTTCTAGGCATATACTTATATTTAAGGTGATGACTAGCTTTGTAGAGATTTTGAAATTGAGATCGTTTCTTATAAAAAATCTAGGTAAATTAATATCATGGATGAGGAGAAATTGATAGATTTGGAGATTATTTGAGATAAACTTATATGGAAGTGACATAACAATAAGAAGTCATAAAAAACCGTAAAGATTACAAATACAACAACTTCATTTCCGGTGCAATAAATTCAAATCATGATGGCAATTTTGTGGAACTTTCAATAGAGGAGTGTCCATGAGAACCTTGTGGTACATGAAAGTAATAATAGCTGTAAATTTTACTTTGGAGGGTGTATTTTAGTTGTGGCTGTATATTTGTATATTGGAGGAAATTTGAACTCATTTACTCTTCTGGATATCATTGTACCATAATCGTTTTTCAATCGAATAACATGTTATTTTTCATTGAAGAAAACTTTGAAGTATCCTAAAAATAAAAGTGGGGAAAGAATTGGGACCAATGACATGCATATACTTATCTTTTCCATTAACTTAGTTCATAAATTGGTAAAACTAGTGGCCGGGTCATAGTAAAAATAGTTTTCTTTAAATAATAATATTAATAAATGATCTAAAATAAAAAGCACTTTAATAGTTTAATTTCGAAAGTCGGTTTCCATGATATATGTATGCTAAATTAAAATGAAATGATCTATTCCATACCTTCGAAAATGGCATCTAACTAGCACAAGATATTAAATTAGTTAAGAGCCAAATTAAAATGAAATGATCTATTCCATACCTTCGAAAATACATTATTAGCAAGAAAAATATTACTCTTAGAACTTGATGGTACCATGGATCACAATCATGGTCCAAGATTGAATTAAAGCAAAGCCTATCAACGGGATCAGCTCATTAATCGGGATCAGTGATAAATAGCCGCTAGGCCTAATTAGGAATCCAACCCGCGAAAGGAACCCACAACTAGGCCAGGCTGGATAGCAGACCTCGAGCCTGAGCGGAGTTCTAGTGAGGTCGGACTTTCCATAAGGCTTATGTGGCAGGCTATCATTCGTGCCTAGCTATCTTGCAACGGAAGGAACGTGGACTTGAAGGAGATGATAATTGCACAACGTCCAAGACGTTGCAGGAGACTTATTCGACTAGAATATAATTAATAGCATTTATTGTATCAGTTTCCTCTTGAGAGACTAGTTCCTAGAATCTATAAATACTTCCTGTAAATTCCCTATCAAGGGATCGGTCAATTGGTTCTCCAGAATAATAATAATACCGCCTTACGCCGCCATATTTTGAGATTTCTCGTTGATTTAGCTCTCGTAGTTGGATTAAACTCCATCAGAACTTTTAGTATGCATGCTCTAAATGTGCAACTATAGGTGAGCTATATATATAATTGTTACACAGATAATTATTTTGAAGCATTATTTTGCTTTGAAAATATGTAGATGAACATAATTACATATCATAACTCTTATGCACAATTAATTGAATGCAGGCATACAAAACTACCTTTATTCTTGATTGTAAATTTATAACCAGTACGTATTCATTTTTTACTTGCTAAAAGTGAATGAAGTAATTTATCTCATTTTATGTAATTAATTAATACATCTTCGTTTCATTCACGTGCTTTTGCAAACACTAAAAGGGACATTAAGTATGAGTGTTTCACCATCCCAAACATTATAGAATTCCCAAATTCATAAAATAAATTTGATTCATATGTTACTGACCTAGCCCATATTAGATTCATATCAAGGACATAAGCTCAATCTAGAACGTACTCACTCCTAAGAGATTAGTCAAAAAGAGGAGGGGACGGTTAGTTTATAAGCCACCGACCAATCTCATACTTGGCCAGTGTGAGATCTTACTTGATCATATCGTTAGATCTTACTTCCTACAATGTGCATTCAAACTATAGTATTTGCAGCGCTATCCATCTCATTGCAAAAAATACAATATATCTACATTCAAAAGTGTAAGATTAGTAATAGTTTGAATGCATACCTGCATTTGAATGGGGTTTACCTCTGTTTTACATAAATGGAGAAGATACTATCAATGAAAAATGTAACTGTTTCAATCTTTATTTTTAGATCTGATGGATTTATTAATGGAGCACTACCAATATTTTATATTATGATTTTCTTAGTTTTTTGTTCTAATCAATAGAATAGGGTTATATATGCTCTCACGCCTATAGTGTAAGGGTTGTGTATTCATTTCCCTTTTTAGTTGAACTGAATTTTTTTGGTATATTTTGGTTTGATCTGTTTAATTATGATCTCATCTAAACTACTCCCTCCGTCCCACTATGATTGTCCCATGTTACCATTTCGGTCCGTCCCACTAAAATTGTTTCATACCTTATTTGGTAGAGTTTGTGTGGTTCTAAATCATTCTTACTTTATTCTTACTTTATCAATTTAATATCAATCACATAAACCCACTTTTATTAATAACCGTGCCATCTTCTCTTGTCCCAAACTTAGGGGGACGGAGGTAGTAGTAAACACTAGTGTATATGTATTTTACTATTGTATACGTATGATCTAATCTAATACATAGTATTATCTAATAAGTAGTATGTTCTTTTTAGGTTTAATATGACTTGGTCCGGTCTGAGAAGAAGTCTTCATCAGCAAAGAAATTAGCACATAGACAACTGAAACCAAATACCCAAAAATATAAAGTACGTACGTTTGAGTTTTATTGTCTTGAGCAATGCTTGCTACGTAGTACTTTTCAACACATCAACGTGAATCGCTAAAATGAGGCCTCATCTTCAAATTTGAAACAAGTCTTTCAAAATTATAAGACTACATTATTGACAAACATTATTTCAATTACTTTTCCCATCAATTTTCACGGAAGTTTCAGAAATTACCGGTTGAGAGCAACGATAATTGACAAGTTAGTTTAGGAGATAAAAGATAATATTGAAAATACCTTGTTGAAAATACTTCAAGTACCCATGTTTTGTTCATGTTTGTTTGGATTGTTTTCGATCTTAGATCAGGACATATCAGATAAGACCAGACTAAACTTCCATAATAATAAAATACACAGAGATTAGACATTTACCAAACCAGATCAGACAGACTATCAAGTTTCTATCAAAACGAAACATCCTTAACAGCCGAGACATTGATGAGAACTACCGGAGTAATATTAAATTTATTAATTGCAAGCTCAATTTTAGAAGGTTGTAGCATTCAACCGTTGGATGCGAAATAGTCAAAAGACCAAACAAGCTTAATCTCCCAGTTATTTAAATGCTAAAATAGCCGTTATAAACTCTACTTTAACTGCTCTTGTTACTTCGTCTCCTTCTCTCTCCCTCTTTATCTCTTCATTTCTCTCTCTTAAAACCCACAAGATCTATTATGGCAATCGCAGTGGAATCATCTTCACCTCCTCCGCCCCTCATCGAGGTGATTCCTTGAAAAACTTTTTACTGAACTAAGAATCTCTTTTCAAAAAACACGATTTTATCCTTAAAAATTCATTTGCAGGGATCATCATCATCACCCAGACCTATGGGTCCCTCTCCATCTTCAAACGAACACTTCTGGAGCACCCTTCGTAGGCGGGTTGATACTCTCATAGAAAAGCGCGAATCCACTGATCAAGTTTGTAGCTTTTTACTTTTGTTTTTCTTCTGGGTCGGTTTCAATTTTGATGCTTGCTTGACAGTAAAAATTATGGTTCTTTTTTGCTGAATGAATTGATAAAAAAATGTGTACAGACAGGAGGAGCAGAAGAAAGATCGAAGAGAATGAAAGATGACGCTTTGCTGCTTCTCAGAGGGTTTGATTCAGTTTCTTCCACTCTTTCTCAGCTTTCTGACAATCTTGAAAATGCCCTTCAGGTAATTAATCTCAGTCGTTGACTCCAAATTGACCTAGGTTTCTGCAAATATTAGAAATTGGTTTATGTGTGCTGTGTTAATAGGGGGCAAGAGATCTAGCAAACCCATCCACATTAACAGAAATACTTAGCTCCAATTTGGAGAAGTACAAAAATGGAGAAAATAATAAACCAGTAGAAGAAGATGGGAATGAGGAGATAGAGAACAAGGGGTCAAAGAGGAAGTTTGAAAGTTCAGATGGTCAAATTCAAAATTGTGGGGGTGATGAGACTAAGGATGAGAATGTGAAGAGAGCCAAGGAATTGGGGAAGCTCAAGAAAGCCAGAACTGTAAGTCTCTCTTTAGTTATATCTAATTCATTCTTTATATAGACTGTTTGTAAACTCACATAGGGTTAATGGGCTTTATGTGCATATATGTACAGATTGCAATTTCAATGGCGGCAAGAGCGGCTGCATTTGCTAGAGAATTGAAGTCATTAAAATCGGATCTATGCTTTGTACAAGACCGGTGCTCGTTCTTGGAGGAAGAGAACAGAAAGCTCCGCAATGGAATTCCTGAGGGACTAGTCCCACCAGAAGAAGATGATGATCTGGTAAACTTTCTTACATCCACATTTTAGACCTTTATCTGTTACCTTTTTAACGAAGGGTGGCATTAACTTTTGATCAAATTCTCTTTGCTTTATTCCCACGTTTGCTACACTATTATTGGTTTCTTGTCACTTTATTCATTTTCACTCCCACCTATTGTAAGGTTAGGGGGATACATGAGCTAGGTAGGTGCTAGGGGATTAGTGATACATAATGAATTAGTTAAGAGAAAATTCTTTAAATAGGATCACCATTGTTCTTTCCTAAAATCGGTCTCAAGCACTCCTATTTGAGGAAGTTTTATACTTGTAATAGGATCAAACAAGTCCTATTTTGGGAATAAAGCATAAGTATCCTATTTGTGCACTTTTTCCATGTTCTAGTCTTATTTGGAGCAATTTCTTAATTAATTAAGGAGATATTAACTTTATGATATAATAATAATAACTAAAGTATTAGGAAATAATGACTATAGTATTGCTCCTATAGTTCCAGTAGAAAAAAATTTGACTAATTGTTATTTTGTTAAAAATAATTTCCAACTATCTAGCAACAACACTATCTTTCGCCTCCCATGACGGTTGTTATGTGAACCCTTCGGATGAACACTTCTCAGAAAAAATCACTAAAAGATAATCGTTAGGAACTGACGCCCACTAGTTTTGGATGGTTTCAACAAAAATTGGGACTGTCATTCGCAGAGAGGGCCGAGGCATGTCACTTTAGTATTAAAAGTGAAATTTTAGTCACTTTTTTGGAGAGGAGGTTAGGGATTGGTATCCCTAATTCATGGGGTTTTGACTTGAATATTGTAAAAAGAAAGCGCATGAACTCTTTTTAAAATGCTCCAAAAAAGTGACTAAAAATTAGATAGTGAAATCGTCATGGGGATTGGAAGTGTCAACAACTCAGAGCCATGCCCCAAAACTGAAAATAATATACTAAATAGGAGGAGGGTGTGTTTGGAGGGCTAATGTAATGCGTATACTTATTTGGTGTTGTGTGTATATTGTAGGTTAGATTGCAATTGGAGGCACTTTTGGGGGAGAAATCAAGGCTTGCAAATGAGAATGCAAGTTTAAATAGGGAGAACCAATGCCTTAGGCATCTAGTGGAGTACCACCAGTTTGCCTCTGAAGGAATGTCTGCTTCTTATGAGAACTTACTGAGAGGAATGGGTATGAGCTTGGATTCACCAGATGATGAGCAAAATGATGGGATTGAAGAAGGCAGAGAGTTGGTATCTTCTCATCCTAGAGATTTATTAGGAGTCTTCAAATGCCTTGACGAGTGCTACGATGAATATTAGCAACAGAAAACAAGAGTGATTGACTCAGTCTCACAATGAAGAATAAACAAGTCTGTTCATAGGAGAACCTGTGAACATCTTCTACTTCTTGTTATCAGTGATTAGCCAAATTTGCTATTCATAGTAATCTGTCATGTTTATAGCAATCTGAATGCAACTCTTGTACTAACAATGCTCTCTCTTGTACTAATATACTAAATATTATGGCAAAACCCTAGCGAAGGTTTATAGTTTATTGCAAAGAGCTTTTTAAAAAGACAAAAAAAATAAGCTCACATGCTTCTCACAATCTCTCAGTGGCAGAATGCAACGGTTTGGTTTTATCAATAGTTATCATCATCTGTGTGGAACAGAAATTATATTAAACAAAAAAAAAAGAATAATGTTTCACTGAATTGGGGGGGGGGGGGGGGGACAAAAGATGTAAAATAAACGTAAGTTCTTTCCAAGTCATGCATTAATGCATATATATATATATATATATATATATATATATATATATATATATATATATATAGAATGTGGATCAAATGAGAACAAGGCTTAACGTGAGAACGTGAGAACGAATCCTACCCGTTGATATTAAACCTCCACTTCTTTACATCCGTGTTTTGATAGTGGGCATTTTAGTAATCACATGGGTTCGCTTTAATTTTTCTAACGGCTTGCCATGATTGGTTTAATTAACTTGGTCAACAACCATTATCATATATATGGTAACTCACTTCCACGTTTCTTATTAGTATCACTATTCACCATATTATTTTATATTCTCCAACATCTTTTTATTTTTGTGGCCTAGATATTATTATTCATATTATTTAGCATATACGGAGTACTTTTATATTTTTTAACATCAATCATTTTTTGTGCAATAGATATCAAATATTGTGTATTTCACAAAACTGGATTTTTAGTGCATTAAATTATTGTGCGTTAGTAGATACGTACCTAACCACTAATATTTCATGTGCATCAGATATTGATTCTTGTGTGTTATATATTAGTTTAAGTTGCGTGAAATCCTTATGCGTAAGATATTAATTAGTTTTTAATTGTTGTATGTCAGATATTGTTCTTTGTGCATTATATGTTGGATTTTGTGCTAAAGATACTTGTTTTAGTTTTTCTTATATGTATTGTGTGTTAAATACGGGCTTTTGTGCATTAGATATTAGTGATTGTGTGTCAGATACATATTCTTGTGCATGTTGTACATGAAGATGTTTGTTGTGATTTATTGTATACATATTATACTTATTTTTTAAAAAGAAAATTATATATGACATATTGGTGTCATATGAAAGATAATAAAAAATTATTTTATTTGATATAATTTTTGTTAAAATCATATTAGTATTTAAAAAGTTAAATCAATTTTTAAACTAAAAATATTTTATGTGATTTGATCTTTTATCTCTTCCTATTTTTTTGGTAAGTGATAGCCTCTAACTAAACGGATACACATTAAAGGATTTTTAAAAATTACTTTGTTGCCCTTTATTAACTTACGTGTAGATTAGAGAGAGCAAGAGCATTTTTAAAATGTTTGTACTTCCACCATATATTTGTGCACCTCATCCTCTTATGACCATTGATTTACTAAGATGTATGGTTCGGATTTGTTCTCATTTCTTACAATAAGAAGTGTTCTCATTGGAACCACTCCCTATATATATATATATATATATATATATATATATATATATATATATATATATATATATATATATATATATATATATATACATACAGAGTATTACGTTTCCTGCATCATACCATTGTTCTCTCAACTACCGAGAAACTGCAAAATATGAACCCCTTTACACTAAGGGCGTCAAAAAGGTAGTTAAGTCAATCATTACTATCCTAACAACGAAATAGCCAGTTGAGTTAATCATTACAAGTCAACAACTTGAGAATTAAGAACTTTTTTTCCTTTTGCTACAACTTGGTGCATGTTTTTGCCCAGCCTTTGGTTGAGGAGAAGGTTTAGAGCTAGGTTGACCATCACTGCCACAGTTTTCCCCAGGTGTCTTTAGAGCTAGGTTAGGTGATGCAGCAGCGGCCAATATTTGAGATAGATTTGTAAGAAGCATCATATCTTTCGGCTTTCCAACGATACCATTCATCTTCTCGTACTGTACATATGGACAAATAACACATTGTCATTTTACAGGAGTGGCGAACTCTGAGCAGACCAACCCCAAGTTCTGTAAAATAAAAATTTCATGCAGAAAATATACATGAATGCTTTATACTCCCGGCACACCCCAAATTCAAATAAATTGGGGTCTTGGCTACACCATTACATTTACCTATTCCAAAAAAAGTTGAGATAAAATAAGTTTGGTTAACAGTACAAAGCTTTGTTAAACTCACAGCTTCAATCTTCCCAAGAGCAAATTCCAATTTCTTGGCAAGTTTAGAGTTTTCCTCGGTCAACACCTCAATCTAAAAGAATATCCAAAATGAGATAACACTTGCAATGGGTAAAATAAATTTTACTTCGTGTGTAACTAATAAGTAATAAGCTTACCTTTTGTTGAGAGGCAATATACAAGCTTCTGTAGTTGAGATCCCCATAAGTAGTTTCACTTGAGGAGGGTCGTTTGAATGTCTGTTCAAGAAGTTAGGTAAGGATTGTACTTAGATTAGTATATTGCACCACTGAGAAATAAAAGTTAAAACACACTTGCACACACACCTTTGAGTTTTCAAATTCTTTTGCTGTCTTGTAAAGGAACTCAAATTTCTCTTTCGTGCTTATCAGTTCTTCGGTTGGATTAGCGTTAATCTCCTCATCGGGTATTCCATCACCTTTATCAATTTCATCCATAAGTTGATCAATGCTTGCATGTTCTTCATTTACGGTGTTCATTTCCTCCATAGTGTTCTTATCAGCAAGATCGATTTCCTCAACAACAGGTTTTGCAACGACTGGTGAGGTATGCATTTGAAGCCGGCCAGATCTTCTAACATTAGACTCATTAGTGTTCTTAAATTTTATCGTCTTTAAAGTTGGTATCGATAGATTTAATGCCTTGTTGTGGTTAGATTCATCAGCCTGCATATATTCATTTTAAGTTTTCTTATTACACTTGAGAAAATTAAAAATAATTCTCAACTGCTGAGACAAACTTCAAGGCATAATAACTGAAAAAAAATCATAATTGATAAACGCAAACACCAGTCTAGAATGTTGATACTCCCTCATATTTCAGTCAATTTACATTTTTTCTCAAGTTTTCTGTTAAATCTAAACTTAGAAAAAAAGTCTATGCAATTCAGAAATACACAACTAAATAAACCTTTCAACCTTCATTTCAGGGCTCCTTTTGGATTGAGGCACCTAGGTTACACACAATAAACTTTAAAAATAACCTAGATTCGGAGAAATAGAATTGTAGATGTTATTTGGATAATCTTAATTCTGCCTTCGTGAAAGAAATTAAAATTGCTTTCTGGGTTGTAAATGAAAAATACAAGTTAACGTTCACTCTGATTAATCCCCATGCAGGGTAACAAAAAGTCCAAAACCGAATGAATCCGGATGAAAGCGATGAACAGATGAATGAAATATTGAATTCGGTTAACTTAGATTATAATACTACGTATCAATTAAGTTTTCAAACGGAATGAATCTAACTATTAATTACTTAGATTTTCAACACACAGACCACAGGTTTTAGGCCAACATCAAGGAAACACACAGTGACAGACTTCATGGAAGGAGAAAAGGCGCATGCATTGTACATATGGGAAAAGAATGAAACATGGAAAAGATTTTCAATTCCAAACATATTCGGGGTATTATTTCCAAGATTTGGAAAAAGAAAAAAAAAAACCTTGAGCCTCAAAGCTTCTTTTACGCCCTTCGATTTCTTCCCCATTGAAGATGAAAAGGACTATTCAGAGCTGCTGATCCCTCCAACCTTTTCCGAGAAGACTATTATGATATCTAATCGACTAATCCTACACTAATATATACGTAGTGTGGAACTATGGCTGAAATTACTAACCTGTCCTTTACAATTGATCAATTTTAAGAGTTTAGTATATTTAACCTAAATTTAAAATGCATCAAATTTTAGATGTATTTAAAACTTTCACTAGTTCATGTGAAATTTAAAAAACATGCTCTACTATGAGTATTAATGAATTGATACATATACATATTTTCAACCTCTCATCTCTCTAACAATTTTCGTAAACTAATTCTTTCGTCTTCTACTCGTCACCAATATACATGAATTTAGTTTCATAATTGAATTGAATGGGCGAAATGAACTGATCATTTACATGAGATTCAAATTAATTGGTTAAGTGTCATTTTAGTCCCACCTATTATATTTCAAAAAAAAAAAATAGTGATGCGCTAACTAACATGGCGAAAAATATGGCTCAACATTAGAAGGGGAATGAAGCGTCCAACGATTATATGACTGTTTGGCGGGCAAAAAAATATGGGGGATTGCAAGTTAAAATTTGTCATAACTTTATCATTTTATGACAAATAAAATCTGAACTACTGGACGTTACGTTAATACTTATTCACGAGGTAAGGTAAGTCTAAACATAAATTAAAATGTGATTTTTATATATCATTCTAGAAATGCACACAACAAGAAGTCAGAAAACAATCGATACCTTGCAATGATCATATAAAATAATTGACATGGATAACCACGATGGAATAATTGATTGACGCAAAACTTTGGAAAATAGAAGTTTTTTCTTATCAATACTAAGATATTGAAAAATAACTATATTGACTTTGATTTTTTACTACCCCAAAGAAATGGAATACATGGACAACTTTTATGCAAGTGCAAGCACTTACATGAGCAATACAATCTTTATGACACACTTTGTGATCACTTGAAAGGCATTCGCCCTACAACACTGTCTTGTAAGGCATGCTTAATCCTATAGTTTTTCACTCACGAACTCACTTAAAAGAAGATATATTGATTTATTTGATTATTGAGGAGTACTTTTTATTTTTTATCTTCCTCTGTATTTCATTTAATGGATTTATCATTAATGTTTAACTGCCTGTACAAATATCGATCATTCATTAATGGAATTAATGCTTGTTTTTTATACAAGTATATCAAACTATTCAGGATCGAGATCAAAATCATCAAAGTAAACTGCCACCAATACATGCTGCCCTCCATTGCGGTATGGGTCTCCCCACACATAAGAATTTATTGCATGTATGCTCATACTGCAAATGTGCTCCTATTTGGTAATTTGTTTGGATGTATTTTAGTTTTATTTATATTTTATGCTCTGTATTTGGTAATTTGTTAGGAGTATTATACTACTGCTCGCAACCGCAAAATTGAGGCAGTATCAGACGTTGCAATTTGCATTTTAAATCCATGCGCCTAACCATCTACTTATGAATGTCTCACTCCCAGACAACCTAAGAGGTGTACAAGTTGTGGACTTGAAAGCTAGTCATCCAATGTAGGTGGGGCTCAACTTTTTTCCCTCCATAATCAGCCAACGCAAACAAACACAAGTCCGGGAGGGGGGCATCTAAACGAGAAGTACAATTGGTGCTTTAAAGAATAAAGATTAAACAAGAAGTGAAAGACCCTTCTTTTCTTGGAGAGGTGGGATGGCTGGCGGCTTATTGCCGGGGAAAGCAGCTCGGGAGATATCAACCAAGGCTTTGAAGCTATATGGTTCGTGCATAGAGATCTCAGATAAAACCTTCCTGTTCAGCTGCACATTTTCCTTCATCAGCCCATGCATAAAATTGCCATAGTTCACCTGTGAAGTAAAATTGTAAATATAGTAGACAGCGAAAAAGATTAATAAGGTTGTGTATCATCTTCTTAATCATCACTATGTATTAGTAAATCTAATCTAGGAATTACCACTTAATCCGTCCTATTTTGTATGATGCACTTTTCTTTTTGGGTTATCCGAAATATATGAACATTTTTCTAAATTGAACTCTAGTAACTCTTTGTTTTCTCATTTTATCCATCATTTCACCTATAACTTATTATGGACTCATCTTACTTATTCTTAATCTTTGGAATCTAGAATGGTTAAACAACCACATTACTCTTTATTTTCTGAAAACTAGCTCCATACCTAAATGTATCTTATGCTATGGAACAGAGGATGAAAGACATGATTATCTTATTTTAAGACATGGGGGGAAAGACAGAGAATGAAATTTGTATGTGAAGAGGAAATTTCATAATTAAGACCAAGGCATAAAACATTTTTCCCAATCATCATAATTTTTCATAAACTAGGACTTATTCACTCATAAAAGAAGTTTGATCTTTTAACTGCTTCTATTCAAAATGAGTCATGCACTCTTTGTTTGTACACATGATTCATATTTTACTCCTATATGCCTCAGTTTCTTTACACTGAAGACTTTTCTTCAACTCAAAAGCAAAAAGTATATTACGTAGTAATATTTAATACACATCATTCTTGCTCCTAGTTTGTACACTACTCAAGTCGTTTTTCTGGTATACTAATTCATTCAAGTACAAATGGATTTAAAGAAAAATAAGAGAACTTAGTTATCTGGTGCATGTTTATTGATTCTTAAGCCTTAATGCTGGATTGCCTGCAGTTGTATAAGCAAAATGCTGTTGGTACACACTTCTTGTACATATATGGTGTACCCCCCTAGTTGTTTGTCTACACATGCAATTCATTCAGAAGCAATTCATTCAGAAGCTGCCTTGTAGATAGACAACTAGGAGTAGGGGGTACACCATATGTGTACAAAAAGTGTGCACAACAAGCATTGCTCATATAATAAACTCTACTAGATTATCAGATTTAGAGACACACTCACAAACTTGATCCTTTGATTTTTATTTCATAACCCATTATCAACATTAGGGATCAATGGCTATGGTAGAAAAGCATTGTCATCAACATCATCATTACCAATTTACCATCATCATGATTGCAAGTGAATCTTCACATAATCCTTTAGGACATGTTTGGTTGGTTGGTTGGTTGGTTCGGGGGGTTAGGAGGGTCAGGTTGGATTGATTTATGTTTTGCTTATTTATCTCTATTTGTTACTTTTAAACTAGAAATAAATATACAATTTGTTACATCATGTATTCCTACATAGTCTTTTTTATCTACGCTTCATTCCAAGACATCTAAATTAAATACGGAGTATAGTTTTTTTGAAAAAAAAACACTAGAACTACAAAGCATACATAGAAACACTCTGAAAGCCCCAGAACCATACACAGAGACTTATACTCTGGTTCAGGGATGGAAGGATGTTTAAGGTCAAGGGGGCCATGGCCCCTCCCAGATTTCAATTTTTTTAGTACTAGTATTGCTTAGTTTTTCTACTTGGCCCCATTTCACAATAACTTTTTTAGCAAATGTCATGTCGTAATTTAAGTATAACGTTTATAGACTTTTAGTTCATTTTGTGGGATGTAAAACGAAACAGGAGGTAAATTTAAAGTTAAACTTGAGTTGTAAATGACTTTATTCATGTAATCTAGATTAGGGATTCTAGATAGGGGAAATTTCGTCTAAAAAAAGATAGGAGAAATTTGGAATTGAACTATAAGGGATGTATTTTCATAAGAAAACACTTACAACTTTTAAATTCAAAAAGTTAGTATCAACGTTTGTAAATAGATTTTTATACTTAAATTAAACATTTTAGAGTTAAAACCGGGAAACGAGCTATTTTTACCTTTTCTATTGCACAAAATGCACCTTTTAATTAAACTATTACTCCGAGAATTTAAATATGTATCTCATCATAACATATTGATAATTTTAGTGGCAATACTTTAAGACTTTATATATATATATAATTCAATTAATATAATTTTCATGGTTTCCATGATGTGCAAGAGAGAAGTTCTAAATATCAATTGACGTACTAGGAATAATGTTTTTCGAAATTTTTGATGAGTATCAATACATCATTTGATATTAACATTACATTTTTTGTTTAGGTTGTACTTATATCGGCCCCTCCCTCCCCAATCCTGGCTCCGCCCCTGCTCTGGTTGCTACTGATATATTTCGAATTTGGCAAGAAAAACTACAAAGCATACACTGCTATAAAATGAAGCATACACACTCTTCCGATGCACAAGAACCATTGAAACAGTACAATATATTAAATAGTTTCCGGATATGAAGAATTATCAGCTTAAAGCCTGTCCTGTGAGGCATTTTTTCAAACACAGAGTGGACACACCCAAGGTAATAAGATGCAAACAACTTTCCAGAGAAAGGGTGGGGGAGGTAAATAGGGGAAAGGACGTACACCGTGCTGGCGGGTTCCGGCGTTGATCCGCTGGATCCACAGGGAGCGCATGTCGCGCTTCTTATTGCGGCGGTCTCTATAGGAGTACTGAAGCGCCTTCTCCACCCTCTCCCTTGCTATTCTTATACAGTTCTTCGCCCTCCCTCTAAACCCCTTCGCTAGCTTCAGCACCTCCTTCTTGTTCATCTCTTCTTTGTCCCGTTCTCCTGCCTTTTGAGTCCTGAGGTTATTGAAAATAAACTCTTCCTTTGGATGGGTGTTGAGTAGAGGTGAGCAAAACCCGATCCGACCCGAAAAACCTCATATATTTTTCGGATATTATTCGAACCAAAGTGGATATCCGACCTGAAAAACTCGAAACCGAAAATCCGATCAGTATTGAGTCTAGATCGGGTGGCGGGTAGGGTTTGTGAAATCCCAACCCGACCCGCCCGAATATCCGAAATATATGTTAGTGTGTACTTTTAATATTTAAATTAATACCTGTGTTGAATTATTTGTGCAATTTCTATTAAATTATTTGTGTTAATTGAATGTGTAGTGAACTAGTGTGTACAATTTTTGTTAAAGTGGCGTTCCAACACTTTAACTATCCAATTATAATGTGCTTTGATATAACCAAAATATCCGAAATATACTTGTGTTCAATATCCGAAATTATGTAGTATGTACTTTGAATATGTTAAATTAATACTTTTGTTCAATTATTTGTGTAATTATTTGTGCAATTTGTGTTAAATTATTTGTGTAACTTGGAAGTTTAGTGCACTAGTGTGTACAATTTTTGTCAAAGTGACATTTGAACACTTTAATTATCCAATTATATATATTTTTAATATATTTGAAACCCGACCCGATATCCGATATATCCAACTTAAAAATATCTGAAATACCCAATTTGAAATATCAAAGGGTCGGGCCTAGTATTTAAATTAAAAAACCCGAACGGGTTTAGGGTTCGCAAACCCGACCCGCCCGAACCCGATCCGTGCACACACTTGTTCTAGTAAGGAAAATGTTTTGGGATGTTTTAGGTAGGGTAAACACTTGTTCTAGGGAAATAAGAACAGATCATATGCATATGATCTGGTAGGGTATGCACTCAACCAAGAATATGTTGAACAACAAAATTGCTAATGGAGGGGTACTTTGTCTTTTTATATGGAGTTGGGGTGCAAAAACAAAGTTTTTAAAAACGGAGTGCAAAGTTCAATTTTCACGATAAAATGGGGTGCAAACTCAAATTAACCCTATGCAAATCATACATATGCTAGGATAGTAGCATGTAAAATAATCAGGAAGTATTTTGCATTTCAAATGAAGAGATGTAAAAGGTTTACAACATTTGATTTCATTCTTTTTTGAAAGAAACTGTTGAGGTTTATTCCTTCAACCCTCAGGCCCAACACGTAAGCCCAAAGGTTTCGAGTGGATTGATTGTATGTGTATGTGAATATCTAGCCCAATAACTATCAGATGGATCAGGAAGCAGAGGAAATAGCAGGCAATGTAAATAGGTATTATTAACTTCGTAATAACTCCCCTAAGTACAATCTACTTGCTAAAAAGAGGCACGTCGGCCGTTCGTCTTACAAGGCAGTTAGAAATGCTACAAGTAAGAAAGCTGAAGCTAGTGTGCTAAGAGTAGAAAGTTGTCAACCCTTTACAATGAAATAAATGCTTCTATTTATACCCACCAATGGGCAGGTGGCTGTACTGTCGTGGCAGCCTGTGGACCGCTGGTGCCCCAACTACCAAATCTCCAGCATTAAATGCACTTCCCGCCAGAATCTAGGTTTCCCGCCCAATCAGTGGGGACGTTCGTCCGCCCGGGAAGTGAGTTGGATCGCTCCAAGTGACCCTCAAGAGATACCGGCTGTTCGTCCCCTGGCCTTGGTAGATACTCGCCTTGTGGACTGGGTTTCCTCTGATGACCATAGGCTTGCCGTGAGGACGTTCGTCGTCATCCCTGGTGGCCCGTGGCCCTGCTCCTTGTCCTTGCATGGACGTTCGTCGGGATGAGCCGCTGGGCCTGAACTCCCAACCCCAGATGTTCGTCCATCCTCAAGGAACATGGACCTGTGGGCTGGCCTTGTGTTCGGACTGGATGTGCGTCTGGTACGAAGGGATTAAGGGGCCGGACCTCGGCTTGGGCCATTAACCCAACAGAAACCATTTGATTTCATTATTTAATGTAAATTGTATTTTAATTTTTATAAACATTTCATATTGTATCATGTGAAGTATTTTACAAAACGAGGTTAATAAGATATTTTACATGTTTTTTATACAGAATTGCAACATCCTTGTGTACAAATTAAAAACAAATCAGACAGCTAGTTAAAATCTATTTTTTACATACAAAGTTATTATTTTTCTAAACTTTGCATGCATTCATTTTGTGTGCAAAATTTTAATGTGTAAACTATCAAACGAGCCCTATATTTTACTCACTTGCGCTCCCATACCTCAATTGCTAATTTTAACACCTCAAAAATGTGTTAAAATTGGGATGAACTTTTTCTACTCCGTAAAATATGTGCTCATTGTTGTGGTCCGGCCCGCAACAAAAGGACTAGATTTCCACTGGCCCACACAGTATGGGAAATATTTTTTTGCAATGAAGCCCAAGATTCATTATTTTTTGACTTGAGAATACGATGGAATAAAACAAAATGACTCACTAAACTGTCTGTGCTTCTTTGTTATGAAGCAGCAGACAGTCTATGCAATTTTGGACGCGATTTTCACTATGGGTCATCCGAAAACAGCCTCTTTGTGCTTTAGTACAAGGGTAAGACTGTGTACATTCGACCCCCCTTACCTCACCGTAAATGAAAATGATGAATGATGAAATGAACTTAAGGTACTTTTAAATTAATAACAAAAGGTTTTAAAATTCTTAATGTATTTATAATGTTAATATGTCTCTCACTAGACAAAAAAATCATAAAAACCTTTAACTAAACTTGGACGTTCAAGCACGCAGTACTAACTTTATGTGTAAGAATATATACGGAGTATTATATTGGGTTGGGATATTAGTTAAAAACTAAAAGCTAAAATACATACTTCAAACATATTCTTTTGGGGAAACCAGACCTTAGCTTGATGTACACCGGAAATTTAAGGCTTTAAGCCTTTAAACATGTCATCATGCACCTATTAGCCCTTCACTCATTTTCTTAGTATCCTCTTCAGTATGATTAGCATCTCATAAATGATAATAATTCACACTCAGTTGTTTTTCTTCCCATAACAATCTACATTTGGCAATTAGAATTAATTTATATTATAAGCTCTATTTAGATAAGTTAAGCACATCTACAAGGTTGGAAATTTAGGTTTGAGAGCCACATTCCCGAACCACTCTAGGCACTTGGTCTCGGCTATATATCCCATTGATAAGGAGCAATTTATACAGAGTAGTCTTATGTAAATAAATTTTAACATATTTTTTGCATATGTTTTTTACACAATATAAAAAAAATGTTATCCAACTCGGAGGCTTGGGCCCAATTGAACCCTTCAACTACATTACTACACCCCTATACCATATGGACAAAAGTATGGAGCAAAGGTGACCTCACTTCAATCCACGAAGTTAGAAGTTCTCTTCGAACCTAACAAAGAAATCTCTTTCGTTACGTTTTTTTTAGGTGGAGGAGCAAGACTTCCCTCCTCTTTCCTTGTGGGGATTTCTCACAAAGGAGAGATTTGGGGTGGATGGTCATCCATTGGACTACACCCACCAACGAACACATGATATCTCTTTCGTTGTTTAATCGGAGAGCGAGTCGGGTCAAATGTTAATTCATGTGTGGTAATGACCCGCTAATCCCTAACATGTCTCATGGTCCCCCACACAAACATATTGCATATGTTTTGAGGATTGCAATGATTTTGTCTCTTCGCTCCCCAAGCAACTTCTTCTGAAGTTTAACTTGGGCTCTCTTTGTCTGAACAAACTAGAGAAATATTGTTTTGTTAAGTTTGTCATTGAAATTGAGCTAATGTGAAAATCTCAAGCTGCCTTCCACTTTGTGAACTTTATATACCACGATGGGCTATTCTCTTATGTATTCAACTATTCTTGCACAACCCACACTAGTCTAAGTGAGTAATTTCATGGAGGGGTGTTCTATTCAAATTACAATTTCAAGGTCTTCAACCCTTACTATGACTAACTTCAAAATGGAGTTTCTATGGTAGTTTTACCTTCAACGTCAACATAGTTAGTAATTTATTTCTCGTTGTTAAAAACGAATTCAACGTTTAAATGATTTCCTCAACAATAGAATTAAACCTCCATAAAATATCAAGATACTTTTGTTTTCAAAAATCACAGTTGAATTTCTTAGAACTATAGATAACTTGTTAGAAATTATAAAGTAACCAAATTGAGACGTTGATCTAATACTTCGTCATTCAAGTTTGCAGTCTTTGATCAATGTTTCTAACTGGATACTTTTTAATTAGAAAGTTGCTCAAAATATCAATGAAAAAGATTGATATTGTTCGAAAACAAGACTAAATTATACTCTCTTAAGAATTATTTAATGCTATTAATAATAAAATACGGAGTAGCAACGAATTGAATGTAGAAAAATCAGTGGGTTTTTATCATTGGAAGACACTATTATTTTCTGTGATATATGATGTGCTCTTAAGGAACTCTACAAATGATAGCGCAAGCAACACAAAACTTATTTTTGTCAATTTCAGATATTAAGTAACAAAGTTTGCTTTACACAATGTGTTTAGAAGTTAGCATAAGTAACAAATTAGTCTCATAATAATCTATTCTATTTTATATCAATTAGACCCTTCATTAATCCTATGTATCCATTTCTCCACAATTTGCTCATTTGCTATAAAAATGCCATGTGGCCAATTCTAATAATGATAATGCTACGGTAGTAACGGAACACACAAGCAAATAATAAGGTCAACATATATTTATATCATATACCTACGTGGCTTTAATTCATGGGTCCAATTTATGAAAAACACCATTTTCTTTAAAGTGTTATAATTTTTTCATCATTTATCTACATTTTAATAAAATTATATCATAATTTATAATTTTTTACGATCTCTCCCAAGGAATTCAGATTTTTTTTTGTAATGGAAGCAAAACATCAATTCACTCCTTCTCTGCATTCCCTACTATTCACTTCGTGTTTCTTCTTCTAATAATGATCATTTTTTTTAAGTCTAATAATGATCATGATAATTCTAAAAGATGAAACCTATCATACTACGTAATTCGTACCAGGATTTCACAAGTACAGTTTCCCATTTGTATATTCTAATTGTAAAACATTTCTGCAACTACAATTTAATTTTCGCTTAATTTTAAGATTTTGTGTTAATTTATCTCAATCAAATAATGTCCCCTGATTTTTTAAAATGCTATATCTTTTTAATTTGTACTCTGACCGTTACAACAAATAAACGAACTAATAAATGAGCGGAAATTTTTTTTCTCTCTCGAACGTACTACTTTTAGGTATAAATAAAATAAACAGACTAATAATTGATTGAAAGAATTTCTTCTTTCATATTTTCTCTCTCTGTGACCTTTTAACCGTGTGAGAAGAAATTTTTTGTATAGTTATCGCCTATGTTATGACAATTAATAAACATCAAACTCTATAATTGCACAAAGATGAAATATTTCTACATAGACGTATGTAGTGCATTTTTGGTTAAGATAAGCCAACTAATAAATGAGCGGAGAAATTTTCTCTCTCGCATGTATACAATGTTTTTAGTTATAAGCTAAGCGGACTAATAATTGAGCGAGAAATTTTCTCACATATATAGTACTTTTAGTTATAATGTAAGCGGACTAATCCTCGAGCGGAAGAATTTTCTCTCTCATATGTAGTACTTTTAGGTATAAGGTAAACGGACTGATAAATAATTGGGAGAATTAATTTTTAACTCATATGTATTATTTTTAGGTATAAGTAAGCAGACTAATAATTGAGCGTGAGAATTTTCTCTCACATATATAGTACTTTTAGTTATAAGGTAAACGGACTAATAATTGAGCGTGGGAATTTTATCTCTCATATGTAGTACTATTTTTAGATATAATAAGGTAAGCGAACTAATAATTGAGTTGAATTTTTCTCTCTCTCATATGTAGTTCTTTTGAGTATAAGGTAAGCGGACTAATAATTAAGGGAAAAATTAACAATTAACTCGTATATAGTCTTTTTAGGTAAAGAGAAGCGCATTAATCAACAAGTAGGGGAATTTTCTCTCACACAAGTAGGGTTGTAAACGAACCGAATCGAATCGAATAGTTTGATTTTGCATTTGTATTTATTTAATTTTTTCGAATACGAATACGAATTCAAATATAAAACATATATTAATTTTTTTTTGTATTTGTATTTTTTTACCAATACGAATAGTTAACGAATCATATACGAATATCGAATCTATTTGAGCATAGGTTAAGTATTGCTCAAATATCACTTTAAAATAACTTTTCTTATATCTTTTATGTTGTACATGCACGCTATAAATTAATATGTATTTTTAGAATTTAAATTTAATGCACCAATGCATTTTTAGAGTGTGCATAATATACTAAATTGAATCAATTTTATGATTAATAAATATAAATATATTTCAAACTTTTTTAAATAAACACTAACACACATATTAGAAATTATACTTATAATGTGTGAAATAAGTTGATAATTGTATATATTAAAGTCAAACGATTCTAATTTTATTCTTCGAATCAAATACATAATTATTTGTATTGTATTTGAAAAACATTTATTTGAACCAAAAAATTGATTCGCATTCGTATTTATATTTTGATTTATTACAAATGGGATTGAAATGTGTATGCATAAATGTATATATGGGCTACACTTTGAGAGTATCGTTATCTTTTAAAAGTTATTATAGTTTTATTACTATTATTATTAATACTATTATTAATATTACCACTATTATTAATTGAATATTTTTTGTTAATATACGAACCAAATACATTGATATTCTTATTTTTATTTGATAACAACTCGAATCAAATTTAATATTCTTATTTGTCTTTGAATTTTCCGAATTCGAATTCGAATCGCTAATCGAACACAAATTATTTGATTCGTTTACAACCCTACTCAAAAGTAGTGCTTCTAGGCATTTAAGGTATAAAATAAGTAACCTAATAATTGAGACGGAGGATTTTGCTCCCTCATATATGTAGTGTGTTTAGGTATAAGATGATAAGTGGACTAATAATTAAGC